CGGCGGCAGCGGCGCGGGCGCGCGGGGCGGCGGCGGAGGCGGAGGCCGTGGAGGCGGCGAGGGTGGTGGGGTGGTGGAGGCGGAGGCTGCGGGAGCGGCGGTGGCAGAGGTGCGGCGGGGGTGGCGGTGTGGGGCGGCAGCAATGGGTGGGCGGTAGCGGTTTTCGGAGGTGGCGGAGGATGGAAACGCAAACGCGACAAGTTTTCGGTGAGGGCCGTCACTGCGAGGCCGAATGCTGCGCGCCCACGAGCGCCCCCTCCCCCCCCGGCACATTTAACCCCCGTCGCGGAGGGTGGCGACCCCGCGCGCAGCCTCTTGGCGATGCGGGACCGGCGGAACGTGCGTTTCAAATAAACGCTTCTCAGATATGCTGATTTGAGAAATCGCAGTACACCGTCCATTTGAACCTCTTATAAGCAATGGAGTAACTCACGGGACGAAGCTGCGACTGAAGATCCGATGGGTTCAAAATATGCTCTTGTAATTGAAATTGTGATCTAGTAAATATATAACCGTTACACATTATAAAATTGAACGTATTTTCTGGTAATCCTTTTTGTGCATATTCTTACCTCCTAACGCCAAAAGGAAAGCCGATTCAAGATTGTAATGAAAGCGAAATGGCAATATTATTAGCAACGAGAAGGGAGAGACTGATGACAAAAATACTTCATATAGTGAATGATCTCTTCAGAAGGATGTAAAGGATTGAGAAGGTTTTATATCATATTAATGTAAACCAAATTCATTTAAATTTAAAACTTGTAGTACAATTTAAAAATTAATAAATATAGTTTCTGCTACTAATACTTATGCTACATTCTTTTAAATATACAAACATTTTTCACTAGACAACACGAATGAAAAAAAATGGTTTGGGCTGTGGATCATGTACGTGTATGGGTACTTTATTTAACGCTTAAGATATTTAACCGTTTATGATCAGATGTCACAATTACATCATATTTTGTCGGGAGTGTTGTAGGCTAGGTTTTATCCACTCTTAAGTTTGAAAATCATATTAATATGGAGAAAAGAGAGAAAATGCTTTGCAGGTGGCCTACTTTTTAAGCACGATGTTTAGCCGATGTTCGACAAATGCACGGTGATACGCTATTTAGATATATGATAACTTCACCAACAGTTTTTCAATTACTTAAAATTGATTGATAGAATGAAAAAAATCGCCGATAAGGCTTTGACCTGCAACGTGTTCCAACTTTAATTGTATAAACATTCTGTGCTGGAGTGAGTGTCCTGTTTTGAATGCGTACTTCTCTCAGAACGAATGTTTTTCTATTCTTCCTCAACGTCTCAAGTAAAGAAGATGTGTTTATTTTTGATTTAATACTGCCTCCATTGGTGAATTTTAAATTTTATTGTCTTTTCTCAATGTTGTACATATTGTTTCTTTTAACTACATTGCTCCATTCCTACAGTAAATGAAGAACAGATAGTCTCATAAAAGATAGCTCGTACATCCCTCTTATCTAGTCGTTACATTAATGCAACCATTTTGTGTACATAAACATGTTTTGATACTTTTCCTCGCGTTTATTAATTGCAGCGTTGTACGCAGTCACGTTTATTGATTGCAGCGTAGCTATTCGACTTCATTACTAGAAATCATGTGGTTATTTTAGACGTTTTGTTGTCAATCTACCGACTATGCGTTACTTATTACCAAGTGCTACAAAAATTCTACCATCAGGCTGAAAAATTAATGACTTGCACGTTGACATTAATGAACGAGTAAAACGCCGCTAATACAGGTGAGAGACGCCAAGAGAAGAGTTCCAATGCCAACTTGGATGTATACTACGCCCAACTACGTGTCTCTCGAAACCTATGTGAATGTTGCGTAAGCTCAAGAAATTGTTAAAAGAGTACGTGTATATTAAGGGTGAATACTAAGAACTGTCCTTCGTTTAAAGGGAATTATTATGAAAATTAATATTCTAAAAGTATTCTAATAACTATTTTAACTCAATTTAATTTTGATGATTATATTTATTACAAAACAGTAATTGCACACCGTCTATGGAACTTTTTAATTTTAGAAACTATTTAGATTTTTTGAAAACAATAACGTATGTGTGTTTTAATTTTTTCCATTTCCTACCTTAGGTGCCGCTTAATACGATTATTTGCACTTTAGATATTATTATTAATATAAGGTTTCATTTTCTAACATTAAAAAATAAAACTTAATTGAAACTTCGCACCACTTCAATACGCAAAGCGCCACAAATAATCATCCTCTCGAATAACTATTCACAAACGCTATAGCCATTCGCGCGTCACGCTGTAGCCATTAAACAAAAAACACGTTTCTTCTAAAAAAACTATACTCATCTAAAAATGTAATAGTCAATCTCAACGTTCCAAGTCCAGAATCGCGAAGGTCGATAGAAATGTTCCCTTCGAATTGGACGAGGTTCAGGCGTTGGCGGCGAGCGTAAATCCTTGATGAGAGACGACTCTGTTACCTGCTGTACAATGGAATTTTATCGAAACCTTGTTTTGTTTTCACACCAGAAGATGACGCAACGACTCTATCTGGCGCTGCGCTCCTGAAAAGAACCCAGTCAGCCTCTGGGAATTAAACAATAACACATTTCGTTGGTTCCAGACTGTGATATTGAATTTTCTGGCATGTGTGGAATCAATTTCTCTAGAAAAAAAAAACATTGAAACAGGTGCGGTGATATTTTAATTGAAATTAGGTGTAAATTGAGTTCAGCTTCATTTTCAACGATATGCAGATAAAATATCAAGAAACGTGATACTACATTCAATTTTCATTTCGTCTTTTTTTTTCTTCGATAGTACTGAGAGCAAATGAAACCCACATAGTCCGCAACATTTTTTACTCGACAGACAATACAGGATCCATACAGCCTTCAAGAAAAAAAATATTTTGAACAACGGGCGGTAGGAACGGACTGTTGCCGCTTGCAGTGCTTACGACCTCGGTCAATGATTGTGGGAGTTGCAGAGGAATGGAGGTTTCTTGGGGTTGCGATGAAATGGATGGTCAGGGCAGGACTCGGCTTGGAGCCAAGGTCAATATAAATCTCATTCCGAACTTTTTTCTTCAGAACAAAAGAACAGTGGTGTCGAAAAATAGGTAGGAACAGCGATGTCCCTTGGTTTTTAGACGTTTTTCTGAACTTTTCGTACGAAATATTTAGGTAGAAATTTTACTTGATGCAAATTCTGAAATAACAATTACGAGTAATTGAAGAAACAATGAAAGATAAAACGAAAGAAAAGAAGTACTATCAATATATCTGGACCGCTTAACAAATTCTCTTGATGATTAGATAAACTACAGAGCACTACAATTCATTGCGAGAGAGAAATTCCTCTCAATGTTTTTTGTAAATGAGAAAAGTAGGACAACATAAACTTTTCTGGAACCCGAATACCAACAGACTATTTTTCACAAAAAAATTGTGAAGATTATTGAATTATTGAAATTTGAGGAATTAGAATATTTATAAAGAAGAAAAAAGACGAAAAGTATTACTTTAAATTATGTAATTCGCATTCCATAGGGAAGCAGACATCTCGAAAACATCACAGACAAAAATCTAAAAAGAAGTATTGGAAATAAGCACTTCAAAGAAAAAAATGTTTGTTGATCTATTCACACGATCGCTTTCAAGCCTACTCAAAACCACATATCTTTTTCGCTTTGTCAATATCTCTATCAGTCGCCCTTGTACGAACTGTTTTAGAGTTCTTACAAAGTCACCGTGCAGTTCAGTTCCGAATCGGATCGACTTGTAGCGGCCGTCAGATCAAAGCGCGAGTGCCTCCGCCCACGGCTCCCGAGAGCTGGTGCTGTGCAACGGCAGCGTTCGCGCCAGCGACCTCCCCTTTGACGGCTGGCCGAGGCGCGTGACGAGCCGCGCGTCCAACGGACCGGGATTCGATAACCGGCGCCTCTCACGCCTCGCCCACGTGCGCGCTGCAATTGACCCGGGGCGAGGTCAAATACCGGCCGGCGCCGCCGCCGCCGCCGCCAGCGCCACCGCTGCGCCGGCGCGTGCCAGACGTAAGCCTTACGTAAGCCCCGCGGCGGGGGTGGGGGGAGGGGCGGCCATGCAGCCAGCAAAACTGCGACGGAGCACGGTGGCTCCAAACACCCAAGCGCGGAGGACACACACAGTGCCGGCTTTATCATCGACAATTTCATTTCTCACCCGCATTTGTTCAAATAATAGAAGAATTGTAACTTGTTTTCACTGATTCTTCGATGATAACAATTATTTCTTGTAATGCTTTTTTTTTAATTTCGCCTATTTGCGCGGTTATGCACATTTCGCATCACTACTCGATAGTTTCGATTTTGAAAATCATAATGTTTAAAGGTCCGAAATTAAACAAACCAAACTATTTTTTAACACGCCCTAAACTTTCTTTATTCATATTTCAGTGAGTTCGAGAATGATCAATTTTTTAAATCATTTAATGAATTAAATGGCTAATGACTTTAATAATTAACTAATGACACAAATAAGAAATGTATCGGTGTCATTTACTGAAGATCGTAGTGATATTTTGTGTTATAATCATAATTGAATAGGTGAAAACCAGAATAGTATATGTGACATTTTATAAATTCTAAAAAAAAATAATTTTGGGTTATATATCAGTGGCAAAGTATTTTCGTGGTTTTAATGAACAATTGAAATGTTATGGTTTTAATGATGAAACAAAGCACAACGACTATACAGTGACATTGACTTAAAAAAACTGATTTCTCAGAATTTATAAAATGACTCTTATGCCGTTCTGTTTTTTACCCATTCAATTATAAAATTATTTTGTAAAAGAAACTTCTAGGATAAACCATATTAAAAAAGATATTTTACTTCAGTGAATAAAACCTTTTAGTAATCGGAGGAATGTCGGTTCAAACAATTTCCTCGCCCATATTTAGAGCAATTATGTTAAATAAAGAGGAATGCAAAGAGTCTTCATTCACTTACCCAACAAGGATAGTACTCCGCACGAAACCCATATAACAAGGCTTGCTCCGACGGAGCCCGTGCGCACAATCAAGCCTGACGGCGAAACGAAGATTCCAGAGCCTGTGGACGAAACACACACATCGCATATCAACTCCTTAGTGCTAAACTATTTTATAATATAATTATATTTATAATTATAATTATATTTTAGAATATAATTATATTTCATATTTTGTCAGGTGAATAAGTTGAACATCTGCAATTATTACTCCGTTTGCTACAAAATGCTTCCCTGTAGAATTGAAACGACAAAGTGGGATTGTAATTGTAAATAATTCAGTAAAATGGGCAGAATTGAATGCGCACAGCAAAATGAAAATGTGACTTGAAAGTGAGTGACATTAAACCAAATGAAATGGTAATTAGTTAGATGTGCAAACGTTATTTTTGCGTTATTACTTTCTCGTGATTGTCAAAAGTGATCTTCATTGCAAACATATAGGAAAAGGTTTTTCAGTTGGCGTGTTCCGTTTTCAGCTGCCTTTAGCGTCGATTCTCCTCGATGAGTTGTACTGTGAATGTATAGTTCGGCTCGATAGATAGCTCGTTCTAGTGACCCCAGTTGCGTGGTGCCCACGACTGTGTTGGTGTGCGGAGTACAATATTTAATTATTCAAGTCGATGTAGAATTATTATTATTATTATTATTATTATTATTATTATTATTATTATTATTATTATTATTATTACATGATAGCGAATTATTTAAGGCAGAACCTTTTGGAGACTAGGTGCTAATTGATTTTAAGAGGACTGAATCCGTAAACAAAAATCCGCTTTTAGTAGTAAAACTGCTACTTCCCTCTGAAATAAGGTCAATTTTTTGTTTACGGATATACATAAAGAGTATGTGGTGCAAAGTAGTGACTCCACATGCGTGGTGCCCACGTGAGTGTCTGTGTCTGGTGTAGAATAATAATTATTCAATTGCGATTGATATTATTTATTATTATTATTATTGTAGCGATAGCGAATTATTTTAAGGTTCCCCTATTGGAGTGTAGAAGCTAACTAATTTTAAGAGGACAGAATCCTTATACAAAAACACGCTTTTAGTAGAAAACTGCTACTTCCCAATGAAACGAGTTATTTAACGATAGACACGATATACACAAATGAGTTACGAGATGCAAAGTGCGAGAAACATCCCAACGGCGACGTCATGTCCACTCCGCCGCGGAGCAGCGCGCCAAGTCTCGCCCCCCCCCCGCCCTCCGCCCCGCGAGCGTCACAAGGCGCGCGCGCCCGCCGCCAAAGAGCTCGCACGGCCGAGCGTCACTCACATCGCCCGCGTCAAATGTTTGGACAACACCCGCGCCCCCTCCCGCCCTCGCCCTCCCATCACCACCGCCCCCGCTCGCGGCCGCGTCGCCCGGCGTAGCTGCACACAAGCAACCGTTCCACGTGCGCAGTCAGCGCTTTGGGCTGACGCGTTCCAACGGGCTGTCGTCCACGGCAAAGCCACTCGCGTCAACGATTAATAATAACGATATACTATTGACTCTCTCGAGTATATAGAATAAGTTGCTTGCGACAGCTTTTGTACCATTTCGTCAGGCTGTGTTCAAAGATTTAAAGTAAATTACTAATATGTTTGTAAATTTTATTAATTAGTAAATTTTGCGCATATTAAAACAGTATGTTATTACTGTAAATGCATTGCTTTATTAAATACAATTATATATTCAATGCGGTGTCTGTATGAAGGTGGTGCCGTGTTGTCAATGGTAGTGCAATAGAGAAGAAAAAAGAGAAGTGAAGTGCAAGTGTGTGAAATGGATTGCAGTGTAGTTAAAACGTCATGTATATTTTAGTTTAAAATATCTGTAAAGGATGGCCATAACATGTAGTTAATACTATTATTGTTATTAATATGGATTTTAGTATTATCATTATTGATATTATTGTTATTATTTTCTAATAATATATTGTTAAATAGTATTGATATTCCTAATTGTTATGTTCGTAAATTGTAGTGTTTGCCACCAGGTTTCATAAACTGCCTGCAGAAATAATATTTATGTATGTTTAATAAAGAAAACGCGGGGAGGATCATTTACTTTAGCGAAGTAAAATTAGTAAAGATTTGCAAAATCCACGAGAGACAAAAGGAGAATCTAGTTATGATTTTAAAACAGTGCAACTGAAAACTCTCAGATCAGCATAATCCTGGTGCTTCTGTGGAGTCATCGCAGTTTCGGTTATTACTTGGTTCTTTACTTATTTTTATCAATACATGGAAATAACATTGAATAAGTTGATCTGAGAGTTCGACTTCATGACATTGCAGATATTCAATAACTGTACAAAACAAGTATCACAATTGAAGTTGATTAAACTGAACAGATGTAAATATATCTGTAGTTTCTTTATGTACCCATTATCTTAATAGCTATCACACACAAAGTTTGTATTATAACGGTTATCTAGCATTAACATCAAATTAATAGAAAATGCATTAGTTGAATTGCATTCTGTTTCATAGCTTATAGTAAACATGAACAGTCATTTTAAATAACTATCACAAAAGATGTGTTTTGCTCTTCCCGTGCACGAGTTCAGAGCGTTTTAGAAAATTATATGAAATTTAGACATTGAAAATTACTGCTTCTCAACTTTCAATGTTACAAAGTCTTAAATTTACTTGCATTCGTACCTTATTTTCCGAATAATAATGGCTGGTGCCGTGTTGTATTACTTAATTTCTGGTAAAGTAGACCTACAACTTGTCGATTGATCCATGCCTTTAAATGCTACCCAACCATAAACAGAGTGAAATTGAAATGTAATTCTCAGTAAAGTATCAAGCAAGGAATACATAATAGTCGATGACATTAGGTTTTGAAAAAACAACGCCCTGCATAATTGAGACGAAAGCCTTGGAGAAGGGAGATTGACGTCTTTTCATTTCGGGTTCGATGAATAGAACGATCTGCTATTGAATATGAAGTGTTTGGTATCATGAAATTCAATCTCCCTCCCCTCGTAAATCTTATCGGCGTCGGAAGCTGAGAATGCTCTGATTGCGAGTCGCGTTGTGAGCAGTAAATCGGATAACTTCGTCTGAGAATCGAATTACGCGTTCAAATAAATTTGATTCCACATCTTTATAGCGTCTTAAAGTGATGCATTCGTGATGAAGTGACACTTTAAATTGATGAAGTTAATTAGTGATCGGACGGTCAAGGACTATTCTTTTGTAGAGTTATTTCATTTGATATTTGTATGCTATTTTTCATTTTGCTTGTGTGCGTGAATGTTGCTGTTTGGTTTCCTAACTCGTAAGTCTAAGTTACTTACTAATTAAAGTATATGGGTGCTTCGGCGTTAAAAATGAAATGTATGCTAAAGTGAGAAACGCAATTGCAAGAAAACTAAGAAATTTTAAGTGGATTCTTATAACTAGGATTTTGCATTTAATGCTAATTTTCACCTTTTACATAGGTAATTTATTTCACAAATGTGTGTACTTTTTAATATTAATTGTTCTGTTTTTTATTCAATTACATTCAATAAAATTAATTGAAGATGTTTAATTATGACGAATAATAGGCAGGTTTTATTATCCACAGGCTTTTTCGTTTAATTAGGGCATTTAATCTTACTCGCACATTTTCATATTTTGAGTTTCTCCATTCAATATCTCGTACTTTTTCGCGATGTGACGAATGAAAGTAATGCCTTTTTCTGCTTTAGTTGTTAATCAGAGACATCATATAGTGTATCTTGTAAACCTATTGAGAAGGTTTCTGTTTGTAATTATTTGTAATTTTTTAATTTCATTGTTTTGTTCTGGGGGTTGAATACTGGAGGAGCTTGTGCAACTATATTCAACTTACGCAAGACATCATTATTTTGCTTGGAATATTTTTTTCTCTTAAAAATTACAAAATATCTGGAAGGCGTTCGTTAGATTTACGAACATTATTAAACTCTATATTCTGTAATTGATGCGCGATTCTGTAATACTGGCGTGCAAAAAGTCACACTTTTGACTCCATTCTTTTGGCCCATTTGTACACTAAGAATAGGACTATGGAGAAATTTAAGACAAAACGTGATTGGCAGGGCATCCCCAGGAGGCCGGTACTCACCTATCATGGTG